CCCCCCGCCCCGCCTACGATCGCAATGTTGTTGTTCTCGCAGAAGAATTATGCTCTCTGTCTGACTTCTTCGTCTGACTCGTGGTTGCTACCCACACAGGAACTCGGTTCACTCCCGACTGCAAGACGGTCGCATGTAAATCAACCGCCTTCGACCATTCATGGATCCCTTTGCAGGTGGCGTCCTGAACCTCGGTAGATCGGGCTGGCGCTCGTCGCGTTATTCTGGTATCACCACCACCCCCCCAATCGTTGTTGTTGTTGTTGTTGTGGCCTCATCTTCCCTGTTAAAAATCTTCGCTCGTATTTCCCCGACCGCACCGCACCAGGTAGCCTCGGTGTGCATGGGCATCGAGCATCTCATGAACAAGCGCCGGAGATCCACCAAGGGGCGAGGAGGAGCCGCACGAGTATCCCCCCCGGTGGGGCAGCAAACACGCCTCTTCCGAGACAAGAGCAACGGCGACGCCGGCGACTCATGCAGCGGTGATCACCAGTGCGGCGGCGACCACGACCACCCTTCTTCATGCCGGCTCTGCGAGTCGACGCTCCGCGTCCTGAGCACCGCCCTCTTGCACGTCAGACGCTGCCTTCATCAGCAGAAAAAGAAGCAGCAGCATCTCGACGACGGCGGAAGCAGCAACAATAAGGACGTCCCCCAGGCGCCTCCCGCCTCCGGCTGCGACGCCTGCCGGATGTGGTCCACGGTCGGCGAACGCTGCTCTTCCCTCGGCATCTCCCTCCCCAACAATATTCTCTTCGCCGCCAGTGGTAATATCGAAGGCGAAGCCGGTGATGGTGGTGGCAGGGTGGAATGCAACAGGCTCGCTGGTGGCGCTACGACCGCTGCTACCGCTTCTGAACCGGACGGGCCAGAGCTGCGGGTGGTTGGAAGGGTATTCTACAATGAGTGAGCGGCCCTCGATGTACCGATGTAAATGGGAGGTAATGCGTGGTGTTTGGTGTCGGCGGCGCCTTGTTTTATATTCCTCGATAGCGTGTAAGGGGGTGAAAGGTGGCGTAAGATGTCCACTCTTTGAAATTGGTTAGCCTATTTCAGGCTGTAGTTTCCGCACATGCGATTGCTTGATGGTGACGAGATTAATGAAGGTTGAGAGTCATGATCAAGGGTCGACAGAGGCAGCGTTCTCTCCAAGGTACAACGTTCCCTAAAATGGACTCGTGCTCCCACGCTCTCGCCTGTGATCAGCACGTGTTTGCGGACGATTCTATGCAACATGGGCGTTTTGCGCACCGGCAGACTCGTTAGCTTATCCGACAGCTTTTAGCATGAACGGGTTTGGTTGTCGGCAAAAGTTGGTACCGTTTCGCTGGTGTTTCGTGCCTTGTGGGTGGAACGTCGTTCTTCCCGCGCTCGTCCGGTTGCGGGTTCGCTGACGAGGAAAGGGTTTAGTCACCGGAATGATCAGGGCGGGTGCCACATATGTGCATGTACGGCGCAACCGCAGAAAGCCAGCAGAATGGAGATGATCAAGATAGGGAGGGGGGGGAGGGCCCAGGTGTTTTGTTAGGGGTGGAAACTTGCATATTTGTGCAAGCGCACCTCTCCTCGTTCACGCTTCACGCTTGACACTCGTGGCATGTGTGTCCCCGCCGCCCCCGCTGTTGGTTGGAGACGTAACACGAACACCTACAGGAAGTAGCTTGCCATGAGTTTCCCCGTCGGCTGCAGAACGTTGCCTTGTGTCCTGCGTTTCTGTCGAACCATGGATTCATTTGACGGAATCCACTGGATTGTTTACAATATCGTAGTTGTTTTTTATGTTACGAGGGGCATGTTGTACGCGTCTGCATCACTACGAGCTTCCCGTGCGCATCTGAATTTTGTATCAGAGTCTGGCCTTGTGCCTCCTGAGCAACGGCGCGATGCCTTGGTTTCGGGGGTAGAAGGCAACGGTTGCGAAGAAATCCGCAACCTCGATTCGACGTCGCTTTTTTCCTGGTTCACGTCGTGGTATGAGTTTGGGGAGGCGAATGCGTAGTCGACCTGTTCGAAAGACGGCCGAAACCAAAGAGTGGACCGTAGCAGCTTGCGTCTGCGACATCCTGTATCGTTGACTACATGGTATCACACGCGTGTCGCCCTCATATGCCGTTGGAAAACTCGTGGAGAATGCCTTCGTCGCAAGAAGAAACATGCCGAATGCCACATATTTGAAGGGTCGGTTGCGTGTGGCAGAGAAATGCAGAGAGAGGGAGAGAGATACTACAGATAGCGCCCGCATGTAAGAACCTATGGTTTTTGCTGAGGTTGAGGTTCTGAGTTCGTGTGGGCTACCCATGGCCGCTGCATGTGTTTCGTAGTGGCTCTGTTCAGGGGGTCTTAAATTTGTGCTCATATTTTCAGTGTTGAGCATGAAATTCTTCGACGCCAAGTCATGAGATTCTCTAGCGCGGGCGCTACCTGTGAACATTCCGATACTCGTGTCCCTCTAGACGCAAATATCAACGGTTTTCACCGCAGAATGACTCGTGTTCACAACAATGATTGCATCCATAAACCTGAAGCCTTTTCGTGCGTACTGTCGAGATGCTAGGTGGTCGAGCGATTCTACCTTACCCAGCGGTCTCATTAAACGTAGATTTTCCTGGGTGTTTTTGAGGGCATGGCTCCAAGTTGCCTTGATTTTCTATTTCTAGGGTCAGGGAGACTAACTTTTGTGCACCACGGGGACGTGAAGCGTACAATAACGCCGGATCTTGTGCACTACATTAGTCCGCCACACCTGCGACGTGCGATCGTACCACCAAACAAATGCAGACCCGAGACACAAATGCATGTGACTGCACGGACACAAGAGTACAGGCTGTACGCCTCGGTACCAACCACAACAGCGAATGCCGCAAACAACAGGGGTTCACAGAGAGAAAGGGCGACCTAGCTTGGTCACATGCTCTTTTCAACAGGGGGATCAACACGACGCCATCCGATTGCCTACGGAGCCAGCATTCGTCGGTTGCTGCAGCAGTTGATGGGCAAGGAATATTTCATTATGTATGTTTCAAGAGTCTATGGCCCTGCTCACTGGATCACATGCTACCCACAGCAGTGCCACACTGAGTGCACCGCGCGTATGGTCCGTCCGGGACAATTTGTCCTTTCGCGTCTTGTGCCGTAACTTTCGAAATATATGTCATACTAGAGGGAATTTCAGCCATGATAGTAACCCTCACGTCGAGGCAAACACCAAAGGTTTCAACCAAATGGAGATTGCACCAGATTAATTTCAAGTTATTTTACTGACAAAAAGGTTCAAGACTGAAGAAAAATCTCGCGTTTACACACACCGTGGAATTTTTCGCGGAATTTCGTTTTTAGTAATAATCAAAGTCAAAGTGACACCTGCGGAATGTTGAGAGGAATCACTTGCCGCACCCCTTAAAAAAATATATCGTGAAGTTGGTTCTCGCTGAAGATTGAGAACAAAATTTTGCGGCTATTTGGTGATGGAAGGCGAAGAGCAGACCAAAAAAAAAACGATCGAAAGAATTGTGCGCCCGGAGACGGGGCGTTTGCACGGTGTCTTTGAAGTTCTGAACAACCTGCCCCACCCCGAGAGAAGTGCACCTGAGTGCAGGGCGGCAACATGGATTGAAAGCCCCGGACGGACCATACCACGTGTAACATCCGGGGATGGCATACTACCATCCCCTGGTTGTACGACCGTTGCCTCCAACAACAGTGGTGTTACTCGTGCAGTCGAAGTTGAATGTGTATCTACAGAAGTGGTGCCACGCGGTGGCGGTGGTCGGGCTAGGGTCTGATGTCAGAGAAGTACACTATCTTATCTTGTGAACAGTGGAGGGTGGTATCTTCCGAACTTCATTTCTCTCAACCATGCAGATATCGACGGTTTCGGCTTTCCGCCGACGAAGGGAGCGACAAAAACAAATGACGTGTTTTCCCCTCTCGCTTCGTTACTCACTCTTCGCGGTGCCATACCTGTTCACGCATCAGCAACAACACAAGACCCAAGGCCCTCTGTTCCAAGTCAAGGAAACTAACTCAACCACAACCAGCGCGTTGTGGAGCGGTGTGACGTGGACCACAGCGGATGCTCCGTCGTCGCTTCAGCCTGAACACTGAACGACAGAGTGCGTTTGTTTGTTGAGCCGAGAGGTATTACTACAACACTGCTGTAGGAGAGCAGGCGAAGGAGAGAAGAGACCGGACCAGTACAATCTGGCCTCATCGATCGTACTCTGACGCGCGGTGTAAGGCAGCAGCTGACCACTACTTCTCGTGCAGCACAAAGAGCTGTGCGCGTGTCATCCTCGAGACGGTTCGGCCTCCTCTCGTGTCTTTCGCGGCGAAGGATACCGTTTACCGTACCGGTCGTGCCAGCCCCATCCGGCGTATGTGCAGCAAAACAAGTAACCAGAGAAACATCAAGCCCATTAACGGCATGACCAACGGCGGACGAAGCAGAGGAGCAAGGGATGCGAGAGTTCATCGATATGGGGTGAGTTTGAGTCATAGGGGCTGGCGCGCTTGTCCAGGAAACGCCACCTGTCTCTGCCGTGATGTGCCTTTCGCTTTCGATCCACGTCGAGGGAGAAATTGGTCTGGAATCGATAGTGGTTGTATACTGTATCTCTTGACTACCCTAAAAAGCTCCAGACGTCGAGATAGATTTAGATTGGCCGAGCGAGCGCGCTTGTCCACCACAGGTACTCCAATAACGACCGCTGCCGATCGATGACATGCATCCATTTAGACTTATGATGATAGACTATCGCCTCAGAAGGAACCCACCCGTCTGCCAACCAACATCCCTCCCGCTGAATCAATTCGTCATCCTGTACTTCAGGTAACGAAGAAGCAGAGGACAGGAGCCATATCGTTGGGCCCGGAGCAAACACTGGCGGGGTCAGCCTCGACGCGCCAGCAATCGACCCCCACCTCCACGGCCGCACGCTCGCGATTCAGTCTCTGGCGCCTACTGTTTCCGCGCAACGTCACACGGAGGGTCCTCGGCGGAAGCACGGCCGGAAGCAATGAGGCACACAGCGGGACAGGAACCGTGCGAGGAGCTGGAATTTCGCCGAGGCCAGTCAAGCACGGGAATGGAGTCTCGGGCGGCGAGGGACAACCGTCCACGATCGTTAAGGCAAATCGGGGTGTCGATGGGATCGGCGGTGGGGAAGGAGGAGGTGGGGAAGGAGGAGATGGGGGAGGCTGGGGGGGTAGGGGGGAAGACCGCGGCACTGGCGGCAGACGTGGGCATGGGAGCACAGCATCGCACTCCGGCAGCGGCGGATTATGGGCTGATCCTCGTTCGGGCGCTGCGAGGCGAGAGTCTCCCTCGATCAGGTGCACCACGAGCTCTCAGCCAATAGTCCGAAGGGGTCTCAGCATGGAGCAGTACACGGACCATCGGAACGATTTCCCGCCGAAGGTGGACGCACCGGCAGCCGCAGGTAGTGATGACTTGGAGTTTGGAATGAGCAACGAGCCGTGGTCGGCCCATCTTACCTTCTCCGCAGCTGCGGCTAGGGTAAGATCAGCCAGGCGTTCCGCTCAGACGGCGTCTCGCAGAATCGACATGATGAACGGCATGGGGTGGGATACGCAGGGTGTAGGACCAAGCCAATCCAGCGCAGCAGGCTTGTCGCTGGCGCCAGTTCTCGGTGTGGGGCGGCGAAACGATGGACACGTAAGGTATGGGTACTACTGAATCGTGACGTATGTCGCCGACGGAAAGGAGGGTCTCTGGCAAATTTGGCACGCTCACCACAACATATAGTCACCACCGTTAGACGTACTGATCTACAAACAAACACGGCTGGCTGTTGTGTCAAGTACCGAAGAACACGCTTGATTAGTTTGTGTCTCGTCGCACTCTACTGGGATCCCGCAAGTAGGTTTCGAGCCTACTGTAGAGGTCAGTGCGTGCGTCCGTCTAGCGCTCACATATGTGCGTAACAACCGAGAGCGATATGCCCTCGACAACGCCGAGACACACAAACATACAAACAAACCAGATTTGATCGGCGTTTTGTCCCAGGTCGGAGCGGCCCTCGATGGACTCGCCGCCATCCCCGGCCACTTACGCCATCGTCCCCGCCCACGGTAGCGAATACCGGTCTGGGTCGGCCGACAACGAGGTGGGCAATCACCGCGAATAGATCGCCACTCATGCAGACCCCACACGCACCCTACCGCACCTGACATGGGTGATTATTTTGGTAGTTCCGCAAGAAAACATGCCAAACAATTGCCAAACCGTTCTTTCTTCAGCCAAGCCACCTGCTACAAGTGGCGGTAACTCCAGCTTTCCGTATGCTTGACATACCATGTTGTTCCAAGAACGCCGGAGGGAGAGGGATCTATAAGGGCCACGCCTCTGATGGTGGCACGGAGGGAACTTTGGAGAAGTCGACAGCTCAGGCGGACGCATCCTCGCCGTCGACACCCGCAGCAGCGTCGACCTCATGCAAGAGCTTAGGTGGAATCCACCACCAATCGAACCACCCACAAAGGACAGCTGAAGGTGGGGAGTGTTTCCTAGACGGAGGATGCCGAAGCTACGGAGGCAGCGGCCGTTCTACCCGAAGCCCGACCATGTTGGGGTCACCTCGCAACACCTTTTCAGGTTTGTGCCATTGTTGTTGGGTGTCTTCATATTCGCGGGACGTGCGTTGACCTCTCTCTTTTTGTGCCAAGCAACTCCGCTCCATTTCCGCTGAATCAGAAGGAAAGATTTTCTGTTGTAGGAGGAAAAAAACATTAAATATCAGTCAAACCTTTTCGTCATCGGTTGGTACGCTTTGCACTGCGCAACGTTTGTCGAAGTGACCGGAAATCAAGACTGACTCTCGTGGACCCTTGTCATGTCGTGGTAACGGTGAAAAGACACTGACTGCCCCGCCCAACACCTCTCACTGCATGTATGTGCCCTCGGACTCGATCTGCCCCACCAGGAAACGGCATGGATATCGCCGACGACAAGGACGACGTGCAACACTATGTTCAAGATCGCAATGCCGACCTCACGGCAACACCGCCCAGGTCGGAGCGAGGCTTCGTGGGATCACCGGCAACGAGCAACACCGACGTCGCGTACTACCAGCCGCCGGTCTCGGAGGGGTACACCGGGGATAGAGACGACGGGGCCTCGACAGACAGTGGGCTGAGCTGGCCATCGACACCTGGCAGCGAGGTGAGTACTCACGTCAAACAGGCCTCGAGGTATCCGTATGCACGTATCCAAGACAAACATATCCATTTCTAGAGTACTCTTGCTTCCCGAGAAACTCTCCATCCGATCGTTCAGCATTACAATGTGCCCAAAAAGGAAGCCCTAACCATTCTACATCCCACGTGCACAAATTATGCCATAATTCCAGCTTACCGTATGCTTGATATGCCATGTTGTTCCAAGAACGATGGGTGGAGCGAGAGTTTCAGGGGCAGTGTTTCTGATGGTGGTAATGAGGGAACTTTGGAGAAGTCCACAGCTGGTGTGGAAGCGTCCTCTCCCGCGTCACCAGCATCGACGATGTCGTACAAGAGCATCATCGGTGGAATTCGCCGCCAATCAAACAGGAGAAGAGGAAACGGGAAGCGTTACCTAGACGAAGAAGGTGGAAGCTACCGAGGCAGCGGCTTTGCTGCTCGACCCCCCGCCATGTTCGGTTCCCTGCGCAGCATTATTGTCGGTGAGTCAGTTGATGTCATTGACGTTATCTTCCAAATGTCTTACCCCGGGTTGGTGGAGGTGACAAGACACTGACTTTCCCGTCAAATTGCTCTCGCCGGATGCCCTTGCACTTGATCTGGCCCACCCGGAAACGGCATGGACATCACCGACGACGAAGCGGAGGAGAAAGGCGACGACGAGCCATCCTACCATGCCGACCTCATCGATCCTGCTCCCACGTTGGAGCAACGCTTCATGGAATCACCAGTTACCAGTGATAACATCCCTCCCCACGCTAGGGCATACTCGCCTGGGTCCCTTGACAACGAGGTGAGTACTCACGTCAAACGCGCAACTCTCGAGGTAGCACACATACGACCTGTGCGCTCGCCTACCCTAGGAAAACATGTTCATGTCTAGCGCTTCTCTCACACCCTCGCGACGTACGGCCGTGATTGTTTCAATAGTTCGAGACAAGGAAAACCACGCCCAAGCAGTTCCAACCATGCTGTGTGATCGTCTAAGGCACCGGCAGCAAGGCATAAACCGCAGCTTTCAATCGCTTACCATGCCACCTTGTTTCAAGAATGACGGAGGTGGCCGTACTACAAGTGGTGACTTCTACACCTTCGAGCACGCCAGCCGGCCTTCTACGACGTTCGCTTCTTCGTACAGCAAGAGCGGCGACGGACGTCAACAAGATTACGACGCAGCCCAGCTTCAGTCCGTACGGCCTGGCGCCAGGCGAGCACCTCCCGATGCAGTACAGAGCGACAGCCCGCAGCCAGGTGTGAAAGAAGGCACAGCAGTGTCGTCGTATGGTCCATCCAAACCCGGCGACGTGACTGCCGGCGGGTCGGTTGGAATCGGAGCGGGCTGGTGTGGAGAGAAGGCGCAGCCTAACGCCCGCGCGAATATCAACCCCGTGGTGGAGGTTCCGAGCACCTCGGCCTCACGGACCAAGCGCTCGTGGGATGACGCGGGTTTGCGGGGCATTGAGGTATCGGGATTGTCGTCAACATCATGTGGTGGCAGCAGTGCTAGCGGAACAACGCCCTCTGATGGTGCGCCGGGCAGCGGTACGGTCGCACAGTCTCCGAACGATGGGCTTCCACGGTCGAAGCGTCTGCGGGTGTACTTGGACGACTACGACATTGCCTCTAGCGGTGGTGCGCCGGAGGCCTGGGAGGAGTCGGCAGCTGGAGTGGGAACGTCCGCGCCGGCTGAAGTGTCGAACCACGCAGGGAGGAGAGCGGGAGATGGGGAGGGTTTCCCAGACGGAGAAGTTGGTCGCCTTGCTACGCGAACGCCCGTCACCTCCATGTCCCTACGCGACATCATAGCCGGTGAGTTGTGTCCGTACATATCAATACCATTTTGACCTCTGTATCCGGTAAACCCTGCCCTGCGCTCTTGAAGGAAAGCAAATGATTTTCCGCTTTACGTAGGAGGCACGTGTACCGAGATCTACGGACCGTACTCGGTTTTCGAGAGCTGGTTAGCTGTGATTCACTCACGCATAGCTGGTAAGTATCTTGTGTCTCCAAGTGGCCGAAGGTCGAGTCGAGACGCTCTTGGCCGCGTTCTGTTTGATTTGATATGATGAATCTGACAACGTCCAACGTCTTCCGCCGAATGTTTCGAACATCCGATCTGTCTCGTCAGGAAACTTCACGGAAAAGAAGGACATCGACGACGACATCGACGACGACTCCGACGATGACGACCTATAGTCTAAGCTGCGGGGCGAAAAAACGCAATCGTTTGTGTTGTGGCGAGGGGGGCGATGCACAAGATGTTACGTTTTTCCCCCATTTTTCGCATCTGGTCCGGGGCACAAAGCACCGCCATTGGATGTGATATCTTTGAAGGCATATCTTCCACCACGAACGATATCATCCCAGTCGTCGTTCATGAACAGGTCTGTTATGAAGAGCAGTAGTGCTAAAGGAGTAGTCCTTGGTTCCGGAATATTCGTGTTCCTTCCCGCATTACATGTATTGTGCCGAAGAAGTGCCTCTTGCGTGTTGCCTCGAGTCACGTCAACGGCGTACTTCTAGATATTTTTCGCGGAAGTTCACTAATTTGTACCTTGTTGTCGATGTATTGGATTTTTGATTGTGGTCACGGAAGCCCGTGCTGCTTTCTTCTCGGAAGAGTTCGGAAGGGAGGTACTGAATTGAGATCACATCGGTTGCAGATGTGAAGCACCAAAAGAAAAGGCAACCTTGGTAACAACACACGTACGTGTCGCACACGTTGTTGCCATACCGTGCCTCTTGCGTGACGTCTCCAGTCTACGAATTGACCGCAAGACCTGTGTGTGATGTTCGTGACCACGGAAGACCTTGCCTTCGCCGTAAAAGAGTACGGAAAGGGACGTGGTGGAGTGGGGTCACAGTAGGACTTGAATGTATGTGAAGCCATCAACGGCATTCACTCACGGTGACTACACAGGGGTCGAACACGATGGCAAGATACAGTTCATGCCTGGACCGACTACTATACCCTCTCGTTGGTTTGACAACTAGAAGTGACTCGACCGGATGGAATGTGTGAAATTGTCCAGGATGTGATCGCTGAAAAAGTCATCGCGTGTCGTTGCGGATGAATCGCGGTGCCCCCAAGATGTGGCGCGTATCAGTGGAGCTTTCCGCTGTGCTGGCATGCAAAATCAGCCCGCGGGCGAAACGATCGCGAACGATCGGCAGCTGTGTTTCAATAGTTTGTACCAATCTTCCACTTCGAACGACGACATCGCAGCGCAACACAAAACAAGTTCACGCCGAGACCAACTCCTTGGTCAATGAGCTCGGTTAAAGCGAGACAAGAGCCAAACGAGCACACGACGGCGCATTTTTCACCCACAACCGAAAGTCCTGCGGCCTTGGTACAACAGCAGACCGCTCGTGGAGACCATAGTGGTGGTGGTCATCACGCGGGAGAACTCTTCGCCACTCTAACCCGGCGTGCCGCTCAACTATTTTCCACCATGCACGCGCTTGCTCGCGCCAGGCCTATGAGACTTGATGGTAAATCCGGAGAAGGCCTCCCTACCCCACAACGCCTGCTAGCGAGATAAGCCTCAGAATGTTGGCGTCGATTGCAACTCCTTCGAGTAATCTAGCGTGTTCGCCTGACTAACAACGGACGCTGGACTAGCGGAGGAAACTAAATAGAACAGAGTGGAATGGTTTTGGAACAACACCAGAGGAAGAAACGACACACGATCATGACGCTGTGTCGCGGTGTTTTCAGACACTCGAAGTCCGACGACAAAGAGATCGAGACGTTACCAAATATATGGATGGATGCCATGACCGACAAGCCTGCGACGACCCTACCACGACGACGAAACACAAGAGAGAAACTCAAACGGAGGTCCATCGTGGTATGCTCCAGAACAAAAACATAGGCATGGAAGTGACTTCTTCGTTAGTCTCGAATAAGTATTTTACTCATCGTTCCTTACGTAAGCTTCTGGCCTATGCAGCTGCGTTCTGCAGCCTCGACACGAACTATTACCGAACAACGCCCCCACCGAAGCATCTCACCGCCATTTTCATCCCACCGTGGTGGGGCGGTCGCTAACAGGCAAGGCCGGAGGAAGCAGCAGAAGCGGCAGCACAAGCACAAGCAATAGTGCCGAGCTATGCCTACGAGGGAGGTAAGAAACGCTGTCGCCAAAAAACGAAACAAGACGCAACACAAACTGAATATTGCAGCAAAAGAATTACAACAACGACCACACGAGGGGCCCGCGATATCAACCCCACAAACCAGCAGCGAGCAGCCGCTATAGACAATGAAGGCACACGCGCTTCATCCACCACTGCAACTACTACCACCACCACCGTACTACCGTCTCTCGCGGCCGCAACTAAACACCCGGAAAGCTTCTCGGAAATTTCTTGGAAGCTTCCTGAAAAGAACTCCGGCGTTGCATGCCGTCCCCCGCGTTAGCTTCGTCTCAGCGGTGCACGACTGTCCAAACAACAGGCCCTGAGCCCTCCCCGTCTCTCTTTCGGTCGCACCCCCAAGTTTTTACAAATTCGAGATAGCAACATAGCCCGCTCCGGGGGGGTGGGCGCCACAGACCTCCTCAGAACACAGAAAGGCGACGACAGCCCCTCCGCGCTACAAGCAGCGAGAAGGAAACCCGGGTGAAATTCACGCCACAAATACATTACTGCTTTAACTTTCATTAGGCCAATTGAATTTTCCGTCCAGTATCCACTACATCTTTAGGGTGGTTTTCCGACAGCGGCGGGTAGCGGGGGTAGAAAGCGGCAAACCAACCGAAACGCCTTGCTGGCAGAGAGAACTCCCCGCAATATTGTACGCGGAACCGAATTCCCTCCCACTGCTGTACGCCCTGTTTCGGCTCTCGGCCTGAGAGGGAGAAGAGAAGACGAAGACCACAAACATCGACACCAACAACACGGCAAAAAGACAGCATAATCCGGGGAATCTCAACCATCATCCCCGACCACGGGACACTTCTACCAGCCGTCCCCTGCTGCCGTTTCTGGCGTTTCTCCTAGCCAGAAGTCGTCGTCGTGCTCCGCCTGTCCGGCCATGAGGGACTGCCAGCGCTCGTGCGTGTGCTGGATGACGGCTAGCGCTTCGTCTACCGTCGTCGGCTCATCCTGTACAGCAAGCGAAGCACCAGAAAAATAACATTCGCAAGGGCGTATCAGTCACAAGTGGACGGCTCATTCTCTACAGCAAGCAAAGCACCAGAAAAACAACATATGTAAGGACGCAATCTGTACAGCAAGCACCACCATAACAATATTCATAAGGACAGCACTAGTGAGGACGGGACAGCCTACGACCGACTTACGCCTTCACGCAAAAAAGAAAAAACGAAGCGAATCGGGGCTGCCAATTACTCCACAACGCCAATCCATACATAGCTCAAGGGAAAGGGGGGGCACGCGGAGCGAGAGGTGACGGAGTAATGACAATCACGTATACCCTGCCCCCCCTTCCACCTGTGAAAGAACTGTAACGGGTCATCAGTAACCACACTACGAACACCCCTTACGCATCATCAGCAACACGCCAGCAACAGCGAGAGAACAAAACACCCGAACGAACAAACCTGAGCAAGGGAGTTCGGCGGCTTTCCGTCCGAGGTCTTGTACATCTTGAGCCAGTCCACCAGTCGGGCAGTCATGCCGGGCTTATACCTCTCCAGGTCCTAGAAGGCGACAAAAACGCAATAAAAAAGCAATCAACCAGGGGTGCAGGCATTGTGTGGCGCGGTCTGCGTAGGGGTAGCTTCCAGCACATCAATTAAATACCGGCAGCTACCTAGGCCTGATAGCACCCTCTAGTCCAGTTCTTGGCGAGTAGGGTTTTCTCGAGCGTACTCTGTAATTGTTTGCACTCGATAGATGGACGAGAGATTGCACGCACGTCCATGTTGTTGATGTTGGCCGCGTTGGGGTCCGTGACTCTCAGCGCGATGATCTTGTGGTCGGTTTCCCCCTCATCGATCAGCTCAAGCGATCTGTGTTCGACACCAAAAGCGGAAATTCGTGGGGCGTGGGGCAATGAGAGGGCGCCACTCTCACAAAACACAACAATCAGCAGTCATATGAGCGCTTCACATCAAAGCACGTCCAAGAGAAAACCCATCTGTAATGCTCCCGTGTGGGTGTGTATTCCATCGCTGCACAACCGTAACCTTTAGGGTCCTTCCTTCGAGCACTTCCTCTCGGCGACGGCGGGCGCCGCTCGCCACCACCGCACGTACTCGGGACCAAGGGCAGATCCCAGAACCAGCACGACTTGCTACTGCTGCCATTCTGTTGTTGTCTTCACACACACACACACGAAATGTTATAAACACACACGAAATGCTCTTTTCTCGGCCTCCGTACTGTACATGTACCTAGCACCCAGTGAGACTTTGCAACAACAACTATTGCAGTTTGTACTGACAGCTGTGGTAAAACTCTGCGTCGGGAGTCAGCTCCTGCTGCAGCTACTATATCACAATCACAACAGTAGCTGCCAAGGACAAATATAAAACATGACGCATCTGTGCCATGTCTCACCCAAGAACCTTGACGGCCACTATGGTGCCCATCACCAGAGGCCCGTCTCCCACTTCCATCACATCCAGCGGATCGTTGTCACCCCCATGCCCTTCCTTGTCCTTCACCGAGATGACAGTCCACAGTTGAGAGTTGAGAGACAGGGTCCGTGTTGCACGGCATGCAAACGGGCATGTGTAAGCGTGGGCACCTTGGGGGTTGTTCCTGGGGACAACATGGGGATTGCTACTGAGTTGTGCCCCGTCCGAACAACGAATCCCCCGGGTCCTCAGGCTTAGGAAGGTATAGGCACTGCAGCACCAAGTACTGGTCCTTATGACGTTGGCATCAGCGAAGGGACACGCCGTTGCACCATCTACTTGGGTGGAACGGAATGACGGTTCTTACAAAGTACGAAGCAACAAACACGAGATACTCGTTCCAGATACAATCACACAGTTGAAGGGCAAGGGTTCCAGTCTGTGGGAGTGAGCGGGAGAAAAAAAAAAAAAGCAGGGACACAGGGTATGACTGCAGCCACTGGTTTATTGTCCTCGAGAGTCAGTCAGGGTTCAAGTCTCTTGGAGTGAGTGGGAGAAAAAAAAAAATCAGCAGAGACACAGGGTCTGACTGCAGCCTCTGGTTGTTGTCCCGGAGAGTGAGGGAGTGAGTGAGGGAGTGAGTCAAGTCAGTCCGTCAAGTCACCTTGAGGAAGGGGTCCTCCCACGTCTGCGGCAGAAGCCCGTAGTTGAAGAACGGCACGCCGTACGTGTAGTACCTTGGCTGTCCCTTGCTCTCGTCCTGCATGATCGGGTTGAACGCCACGTCCTTCATCACCTCCATCTTGGCCGTCTGGTACATGGGGATTTCCACGATAAACCGGAAGACACCGTCCCCGAGACCCGGGTCTAGGGGCACGTCGTGCCAGGGAGACGCCGGCTTGCCGGTGGTGGGGTCGGTGAAGCCGAGCTGGAAGGGGGCAGTGCCGAAGGTGCCCTGGGCGTTGGTGTGGGGGGCGGTGGGGGGCTCGATGACGGGCTTGGACCACGGGACCCACTCCTTCGTGTCCACGTTCTGAAAAAAAAAAAAAAGAGGACAAGAGTTGGCATGAAAAAAAAAGAACAGAGAAGAGTTCAAGGGCGTGTTTAGTGAAGAATACTTGTACTCAAGCATTTTGGGGGTATTTTACTCAACCTTGAGTATGGCCCTTGAGTCAGTATTAGGAGTTGAAGTGAGCGTCATGTGTCAAGCGGCGATCGGGGATGGAAAACAGAACTCCACTTTTGGGGGATTTGACCGGGGCTTCGGTATGCTTGCCTGAACCAGCATCCAAGCATCTCCTCCAACCCCACAACACTGTCGACACGACCAACACTGGAAAACAATCAATGACCTCATCGACACCACGGACAGAGGAGTCACTATATCTATGCACCCACCTCACAACGTTGTCCATTGTCCCACAAAGCCCTTGGCTTGCTTACAGCTTCAACCGTTAATTGAAAGGTATTGGGTCCATCCGTCGGTCAGGCGACAAGAACAAAAACTTCCGTTGTGTACTGTACCTGGTAGTAGTCGCACACGATGTCCCAACCCGTCTGCACCATGAAGCCGGGGGGGATGCAGTTTGCTGCCAGCAGATCCGACGGAATTTCGTTCGGGCAAGGCTTGGCTCCCTGGGCGGCGAGCTTCCTCATCTTCGACCTGGTGGGGGGGCGGTGGTAACAGCCAAGTTCGATCGAAATCTAAACTACTTGAAGATTTTAACAAATCTAGTTTTGCATTCACACAGCGGCTGAAAAAGTATGCTACTGGAGTGAAAAGAGGGAATCAATGGTCCTCGACAACAGACGTTACGTTGGGAGACTGTATCATACCACCCTTGACGAAGGTCATCTCCACAAAGAAGGAGTCCTGTAGCGCCGACAGAGACAGCGAGCAAAGCAAACACATGCAAGGTACCGTTCTATTCAAAATTCAAGTGGTTTGTTTGTCATCCCCGAGGCTGAGATCTAAGTCAGCGCTCCCATCGACCATCGACCATCGACCGAGCTCCGACCGGCCTTGTGGCCACACACTCGTTCAGCGCAGTCAGACGAACTCGGTCTGGTGCCCGAACCACACTCGTTCACATGTCAAAAGCTTCCGTGAAGCTGACGAAGGAGAAGTTAGCGACTGCTTAGTCCGCGTCACGGCACTTCAGACAACTGACGGGTGTGGTACGGGACACGAACCAAAGTCACCAAACGGCGCGTATGGCCACAATGGCAATGGGAGCTAGGTCCATCGGAGCGCTGACTAGAGGTTTGATATCGGCTTCAGCACAATTTACGCTGTCATGGCTTTTGGGTTCCGCCGCTCCCGCTCCTGCTGATTCTTTGCGTGGTGTGCGCCATGCTCCAGGACCCGCCGACCTCGTCGGTGTTGCCTCCCTCTTTCGAGCTGCTTGAGAAGCCTGCTGCTGCTTCTCCTTGGCCACCATACGACGCACCAACTTCCTTGCTCCTTTTCAATGTGATCGCGCATGAAGGCTTCATGCGCGACCAAGTCGAAAAGAACCAAGCGGATGGGCACTTGGCCCGTCATTTGGTGGCCAAGGAGAAGTAGCAGCAGGCTTCTCAAGCAGCTCGAAAGAGGGAAGCAGCACCGACGAGGTCGGCGGGGCCTGGAGCATGGCACACCAGGCAAGGCCAGCAGGAGCGGCGGCAGCGCGCGGACGCCAAAGTCACCACCATAATAGAGGCGTGGAAGCAAGGCCATGCTCCAGCCCCCTCCGAACTCGTCCGTGCTGCCTCCCTCTTTCGCGCTGCTTGCGAGGCCTGCTGCCGCTTCTTGTTCGCGACTTAACGGCGAACCAGCTGGAGCAGCAACCCTCGCAAGCAGCCAAGGAGGGAGGAAGCACCGAGGACATCGGCGGTATCTTGAGCACTGCATGAACTGCACACAAATCAGCTGAGGCGGAAGCCAACCAAAAGCCACGACAAACTTGTGTTCAAAGGATCCGAAATCAAGCAACTGCACCAATAGCCAACCATGTTTGCGACTGCGGTGAGATTCCAACGCACCACGCCCCAAGCGTCAGAAGGTTACGGGGTTCAAGTGCCCCCTGAACCACGCCAGCCACTGTTGTGTCACAAATATCGGTCATTTCTCTTTCGGCGGGCATGCTCATCAATCGATCCGCAAGGGCTGCCAAGCTACGCACAACCTCGCAACTAAACATGTAAAAAATAATACAGAGAAACCCTCCCAGTACAAGGAATATGTATGGGTACATGCAAGTCGTTATGGAGGCTTCAGTCGAGCTGCACACGCGCACCCGCTGTTGCCGGCAGTTAAGTACACGAGCATGCGATATGTATCTTCCAGCCACTGAACTCTTCAACACCACGCTGATCAGCATGCGAAACAAGGTAGCAGTAGCGGCCTTGAAAACGATGCTTACTGCGTCCCCAAAACGAAAGTATAAAACAATCACCACACACAACACACACCTACCTTATCGTATCAACCAACATCGACACTTTTTTATTGACCCAACTGAACAAAGCGTTTCACTGTCTACTTGCTCCGACAAACCGTCGGCAGAGAGAGAGAGACGCGGGGGTAACGCGTATTTGATTTGTGAAGGGAGGGAGGCCTCTCTCTATGTGTGTCTCTCTTACCCAGAGATGGAGATGAAGTCGTCCGGTCGACTTGGGTCTGGTGCGGTCATGGTGTGGGTCTTCTTGTCATAGTACACCTGAATTCATTCATTCGTCAAACAAAAAGGGCAGGTTTCATTATTCATTACTAAGTGTAGTCTTCACAGACGTCCGCAAGCAAGAAATGACACACGAAGGTCACGGAATGTGTGCCGTCTTCTCGGAATTGCTACACACATCCGAATTCGTCAAAAGAAGAGCATAATTCATTGCTCAATTGCGAACTAATTTGACACGAACGACCACACGATTTCCACCATAAACTCGGCGTCTACGGTTTTCATCCGTCAGCCAACTACGGTCGCGATCGATACCCCACCTCTCGACAAACACGGCCCACACACAACACACCTGGCTGAACTCGAGCATCTTCATGCTGCCGACACCCGGGCTCATCCACAAGACGTAACGCCCGTGCTCGGCGTCGTAGAGGTCGTCATCCGGTGCAGCCTGCGCCTCGGGGGAACCCTTCATGCCGGCAGGATCGCGCCCGACAACGAAAAAGCTCGCGCCTCCGGACCTGACCAAGACGCGCGTCGAAAATAACAAATTCTGTATCAAGTGTTTTGCAATTTTTCTCAAACGGCTTGTCTGTGTTTGATGTGAATGGAGTAGTACGTTGTCTGAAAACAATGACGTGCGTCGGCAACAAACGGTGGAATTACATGTACAGGGCATGTAATCCAGGGGTCACTCCGGGCCCACTACTCTCAAACGGGTGGTCTCTCGTCTTTCTACATGTATGATGTTATGGAGAATGCAGGATACATAGTCTAAACCATGACCTACGTCGGTAGCTAACAATCGTGTATATTTCTGCCCGGTTGAAGCTATGCAAGCCATGAACTCATCATCGGCCAGCCAGTAAGCGCGGTCGATCCTATTGGATAAAAGAGAAACACACACACGCACAATTCGACTAGCGTCTTTCATTGGCCAGCCGATTAGCGCGGTCGATGCTTTTGGCTAAAATAAACACACACAAACACACAAAGACACACACCTCCTGCTCTTGGCGTGGAACTGGACCTCGGTCGGGCCGCCGTAGATCATAGGGCTCGGCCAGATGGCCATCACGGTGGTATCGGGGTTAAGCATCCCCTCCGCCAACACCGCCTGCATATCATACACACCAAACCGTCGGGGAAGGAACGCAGACGAGAAACGTCAGAAAGGGTCAACGATGTATGCTCCCTCTATTTCCAATCATCGTGTAGAAAGTGGTGCAACCAGCTCGTGCTGTGCAAAAGGTGATAATCTACTGATGCAAATGTGAACGCCACAATGGCCCCTCTGTTTCCACCCGATGGTACTACAGCACTAGTGGAAGTGGTAGCGACGAAGCGTTTGCTGTGCAAACAGTGTCGTCTACTGCTGAACTTACCTCGTGCTGCTTGACGCGGACATCGAGGGGAACATCGTCGGGCTTGGTCCACCCACCGAGGGGCGACAGCCAAAGAACCGGGTTCTTGAATCCCTGAGAAAGAACAAGAAGACACCACAAGCCAAGTGGGACATGGTGTCAGAGAAGGTTCGCGTGGGATCGGCTTTACGACTATTCAACACCCAACTAAAACAGGTACACCCATAAAACGCAAAAAGCAGTCGTCTTTAACCCCAAACCACGATACCCATGGAGACGTTTCCGTGCCAGGAACACACATGCACAATTCCGTGCGTGAGGTTTTCACGTGGCAATGGCGGGGGAAGAGAGAGCGACACAGACGCGCATTCATACCCTTGCTTGTGGAAACGAAAGATTGGGTTGTGTATTTTCTTGGTGTGGGTATTTTTTATTAAGATGCACAACATGTATGTGTGAATTTTCGTGTAGTGAGTATTTTACATATTTCAGGTATAAATAACATATGCGCGGGATCAAAGACCAAAAACAAGAAAACTTCCTGTGACAAGGTCATTGCTGGACCTACACCACGACAGCAGCAACGACGATCCATCCCAAGGCTAAGACAAGATGAGATAGCTCCGTTCACCTGGTCCCTGAGCTTCTCCCCGGCCGTGCGCATGAGGTAGGCGTGGCCGGCGTGTGTGGGGTTTCTGGTCTGGAAGGCGTACACGACGTCAGCCCCCTTCTTGGCGAACTCCTCGCGAACCTCGGTGGCCGTAAGGCGCCACTTGTCAAGACCGTCGTTGTACCTGTTCAATAAATCAAATGAATAACAACGATGGTAAAAGAAAATACTTGGGCGGGGGACAAAGAATTAATTGATTGATTGCGTCGGGAACGGGAACACGGCTGTGAGGGGAACGCCACAAGGGGGGGGGG